GAACATAAAAGATCACTTAGGGAACTTCTCTTGTAGGTATGGGAAAACATTTACTTCCAGGAAGATTCAATGTGACTGTATAGTTTGTAGCATGTAACTAGTCTCTGCATGTTGTAATTTCCTGTTCAAAGGCCAATTCAAGGAGCAGTCTAACCTTTCACTTACCTAAACCAGCTTCTCTCTGCAATTGCCCTACATATCCAACAATTTTTTCTTTGTTTCATTTACTTAAAATATATAATATTTAAGATTTAAAAAGATATACAGAATACCACCACCAGGGGCGCCTGCATGGCATAGTTGGTTAAGTGTCCAGCTCTTGGTTTCAGCTCAGGCCATGCTCTTAGGGTCGTGGGATCGAGCCCCGTGTCAGGCTCAGCGCTCAGCGAGGAGTCTGCTTAAGACTCTCTCTCTACCCCTCCCTCCTCTCTAAAATAAATATATCTTAAAAAAAAAAAAAGGAATACAACCACCACCTATCATCCAACTTAAGAATACGTTACTGGTATCAGTTTCCTCTTGAAAAGAGAAGCATGTTTCTATGTCTTGAAATTCTTAATTGTCCTCTGCCACTCTAACCTTTTGGGTGGGATCCTTAAGTCAGTGCACATGTTTAAATTCTTTAGGAATATGAAGAAGCACCAGAGAAGATCTAAACCGGTTGTTCTGAACACTGTACATCTTATTCTTAAACATCCACCCTCCCCCTTCTCTCAAACACACCACCACCAAAACAATGTATGCAATCAAGTCAGCTTCCCAAAGGACCATCAGGAAGAGAAGAGGACTGAGAGTGGAAACACACATCTAGGATATCAAAGCCATCAAGCAAAGAAATTTTACCTGCTGCTTCCGCTATTCCATGCCCGTTCCTGATGTCGCAACTCAGCACACCGAGTTAGCTCCCAAACACAGAAGGCGCTAGTAAATTATGGCAGGGGCTTGATTCAATTCCCCAGAACACAAAGATCAACTTCCTGTGCCTTGGATTTCCATAAAACCAGGAACAGTAAGGAACTCCACTGCCAGATCAAATCATTCTAGGTGAGAGCAGGTCAAGCTACCTCAGACACACCTTGCCACACACCTGTGCAACAGCTTCCCAGAAGCCCAATTTTCAACAAACAGGTGGCCACTCCTCGGACTGTCCTTCCCTAGTAACCTAGTAAACACCAGAGCTCATTTTATGAGATTGTTACAAGTGACCGCCTTTTTCTGACATGGGAAAATCAACTGGTAGGAGAGAAAGGGGAGGGGGGGTTTGAGAGAGGGCATAACATTTTGGTCCCTCCCATATGTCACCAATACTCACAGCTCTGAAAAAAGAACCACTTTATCAGAAGGAGATTAACTGTAAAAACATAGCTGATAAGGGCTTTGAGTAGCAGGTGTTGGGTGACTTCTCACTTTACTCTGAAGTGGTTGGGGAATTGGCATAGAACCACCAGAGGCTCTGCTGCATCAGGGAATGGATTCTTGTTCTTTCTTTGGAATGCATGTGTCCCGAAGGGATGGGGGAAACGTTTTAAACCTCCACTCCTGAACTGTTAAGTGGTGTACTGAGGAATTACGTGACAAATGCCATTGTCTCTGGAAAACGAAGTGAGTTTGTGTCTCAATAGCTGTGTTTAGCAATAGGAATACAGGAAAAAGATGACAGACATGTAAATTCAAGACCCTTAAATCTTATTGTATTAATTCTTAGCAGGCACCATCCAGGTCTTCTTTCCCAGAACAGTTCAGTGGACCTAAATGGTCTTAGTGTTATTTTTAAACAGCTTTACTGAGATACAATTCACATCCCCACTTAAGTGTACCATTCAGTGGTTTTTAGTACATTTACAGTTACGTAATTATCACCATCATCAATTTTGAAACATTTTCATCACCCCAAAAAGAAACCACATATGCATTAGCAGTCACTTTCCAGTTCAGGTTTTTTAATATAGATCAACAGCATCATTCCCACTGGCTAAATGGGACCACATTGCATCAAATCTAAACCATCATCCACTGCAAGATACACTGCCACTTTACCACCAAGAAAGAAAAAGCAGTGCCAATCACACGTTTTTCATCACCTTTTCAGCCCTTGATTTAATAGTTATTGAAAGGGATCTTTTAGATTTAGACATATTTTGTACCAGCAATGCACATATCTCAGTGGCAGTAACAGAACACTTATGACCAAATTCACACATGTGCAAGAACAACCACCAGCAGTAAGACATCCTGGCTTTAGAGACATTGAAATGTGAAAAATGTTCACTCTAGAATCAACAGTATCAAATATTGCATGCACGGTATGGAGTGTCCTTGGTTACAAAACAACAGAAACTGACCTCACTAACTAGGCAGGAAAGGAATCCCACAAGCATAATCTATATAAGCTAATAAGCTAACATAATAACTCATCATCTAAGCAACCCAGAAAACCCCAGAATGGGGGCAGAAAATGTATCTACTGCTATGTACATTTCACTCTCTTCCTGGTCCATAGTCACAGGAAGAGAGAGAACTATCTCTCTCAGTAGAGAAAAATGTAGTAATAAGTTCAGCTTTTTTGCAGTCTTTTAGATAGGGAAAGAAAATACTTATTTTTTTTTTAAGAATTTATTTATTTGTTTGACAGAGAGTGATATAGCGAGAGAGGGAACACAAGCAGGGGGAGTGGGAGAGGGAGAAGGAGACTCCCTGCTGAGCAGGGAGCCCAATGTGGGGCTCGATCCCAGGACCCTGGGATCATGACCTGAGCCTAAGGCAGACGCTTAATGACCGAGCCACCCAAGCACCCCAGAAAATACTTATTTTAGAACCAAAATTGAGAGAGTGGAGGCGCTGCGGAATCTCTAGAGTGCCTTTTCCAATTGACAACTGCCTGTCTTTAGCTTGGAGACAGTGAGATGAGTCAAATGACTTCAAAAAACCATGACTCAGAGTTTAATTACTCGGTTTAAATTTCTAACATTCCAAAGACGATGCCAAATTAATTTGCTGACAGCTTCACATTAGCACGAATAACTAGCTAGCTTATAAGGACTGAAGGCCGATAAGTGTGGTATATATTACTCAGCCAATACTGACCATATCCTGACCAAGCACGGTCTCATGTGGGCTATCTGGGAAAGAGAAATAATTTTAGCTTCTTGTGGAGAAAAACTATTTTAGCCGTTTCTATAAAGAAAAGAAAGGGCACCAATAAAAGAGATGTAAAATTCAGAATTAAGTGGTAATATTTTGTAATCTAGAGTTCATTTCTTACTGAAGTTGAATACATTAAAGAAAGAAAGATGTAAAATTCAGGGTTGGGTTGAGAGGGAAAAAGCTAGAGGAGAAACAGAGCAAGAGGATCAAAGGCAGACAGTATCAGATTCTAATATTAGCCAAGGGAATTGTTTACATTTTGTTGCTAAGGAAAACTTGGCGCTTTGGAAAACGAACCAGCCGCGACACTCTTGCGACAGCTGCCGCTTGGCTCTGATGCCCTTGCAGGGCTATCTGCCACCTGCCTGCCACTTGCCATTTCTGTCCTGCTGTCCGCCAGTCAAATCAACCCCTGTACAATCAGATGACCCTGTTGGTTTCTGTAAGCCTCAGGGACACTCCAAAGACTGGGTGGCGGTGATCACGGTGCCATGAAGGTAGACCACCGCATGCTGGGCTACCGACTAAGACGGACGCGTCCCCAAATCAGAACCTTTCTTCTCAAATCCAAAAGAAGAAATGGTTATTGAGTTCAATGACAAGGGCAAAAGAGGCTTGGGTGACGATCTCCACTGTGCCTCTGACTCAAGGTGTGCTATTAGGCAAATCACTCCATGCTCTGAGGGCCTCAGCATTTCCATTTGTAAGACAGGGAGTTTAACTCCTATTCTTTCCATCAGGTAAAGAGAATACTTTGAGCATACTTGAGCTTTTCAGGAAAGAAAACAAAAGGAACTTTGTAAATTCAAGATCATGCCTTTCTTAAAAGTAATAAACTATTTCAGAAGTCCTGCCCTGAGCTTATGTAGCAAAATAATAAATTATCTAAAATCCTGCAAACCTTGAATCTCTTGACTCTTGTGTTTACTCTTCAGTGACTATGGCCATTTTCACAGACTGACATCATAAGAAAGACTGTTGTTCCTAGAGTTAAATTTTTTTTTCAAGCTCTCCTTCCCCTGCCTTGCTTATAAGGGTAATACTTTATCACTCTGGAATTTTGGAATATACAGAAAAAAACCCAAAAGAAAATAAAAAGATACCCATAATCCGCCCCCCTCCAAAAAATCTAGTGTTAAGATTTCCATGTTTATTATTGTTTGGTATCATAATCTATTTTTTTTGTATCTAGCTCTGTCCATTTAATAATGTATCTGTAGTTAACGAACTGAATAAAGCACACAGGGAGTAAAGCTGAGACTCATCATGAGCCAATCGGTATGCACACACCCTTCTTAGGACCAAACATTCTCAGAAAAGAAAAGCCAGCTGTGCAGCTTTCATGGTAAGACCCACTCCCCAGTCCACATGCTCTGATTACACTGCAAATGGAGATTCTTTCTGAGAGATGGCTTTTCCACTGGGTAGGTCTCGCTGTGGCCCATTTTAAAGCCCCATTTATCCCAGTGCTCACTAATTGTTTCAAATTGGACCTGTGAATGTGAGCTTCAGGCCGCCATCATGGTTCCCAGCAGGAGTCCAAATACTTCCACAATGAGCTGATTACAGAGAAAGCTGCAGCTTTAAGAGAAGAATTAGCACCCAGCATGCTCTTTCAGAAGGAAAATTTAGCTGTTTTCAAAACATGTGATATTTTTTTTCTTTCAGCTTATGTTTGTCTACAGGGAGAAATTCTAAATGGTTTTAATTCTGTAAAGGCTTAAATGATAGGTTTTATTTGATCAAGTCATTCCCCAGCTGAAAATACTTCAGTGGTATTCCATAGCTTTGAAAACAGAAGTTCAAGTTTCTTAGCATAGCACAACAAAAATCTCCATGATTTGGTTCCTGCCTACCTCTCTAGCTCCACAATTTCCAAAGTATACCCAGTGGAATACCAGTCTTGGGTTTCTGTGAAAAAAAACAAAACAAAACTATTCGATGGACACAGAAATTTGGAAAATGCTGCAAATTCTAACCACACCCACACTCCCCTCTCTACACCC